TTCACTTTGGCAGCCTTGCCATTCTACTTTTATTCAGTCGTACATCACAAATCTTTACTAAATTTTAAGTGTGGCACTCTGCAGTTACTTGTCGCAGTCGCCAAAGCTTCCACTTGTGGTCAGGGTGAACTCTGAGCACCTACAGATGGCCTGCCTCACCGGGTAGTAATTAAACAAAACCTAAAAACAAAATTGGATATAGGAGATAAAGTAAAAAAAAAATATATATCAAGAAATCAAGGAGGGAAGGGGAAAAAACAAAAGAAATAGATGAGTACACAGCAAAACCATGCTTAGAGTATATATACTCTAAGCATGGTTTTGCTGTGTACTCACCCAAATCTGAAGGTCTCTATTCTAAAGCTTGTGTTAGGCATTTAAAAATTACATATTCCAAAATAAAGTATCCTCTACATCTATCCCTATTTAGCTAATATGTTTAAGTTACTAGTGTAAAAAAAACCTCTAAACGCAGGAAACTGCTGGTTTACTCTTTGCTTCAATATTGAATTTTAAAAAATATAAATTTAATAAAATAAATATTTTAAATACAATCAGATCTCTCTCTATTTTACATTTTTTTATAATCGCATAAAATTTTAAGACCAGCTTACTGTACATTATCCTCATGTTTAACTACTATTTGCTCTTGCTCTGTTATTTCGTTTAAAATTGTTTCTAAATTTTCATCTAGAGTCTGAAGTTTAAAAGCTCCTTCATAAAAACTAATTTCTAGATCACTACCAATGTTATTAATTAATCTGTTGGCTTTTTCCAGATGAATTGAATATGCTTCATTGTCTGCATAGTTAAGTAATTTTGAGTTCCATTGGTTTTGTAAATCTGAAAATTTCTTCAAAACTTTTTGCTTGATATTTTCGATTCTTACTTTCACTTTGTTAATTTTAGTTGAAGTACACCTAGTGCTTTGAATTTATTTTTTTCTTGCGACAAATTATTAATAAGATAGTCTATTGGTTGATTTTCTTCTTCATATCCGCTGCCAATTTTTTCCTTAGCGATAGCCCAATCATTGAAATAATGTAGAAGTAGATCATTTGATTTTTTATCTAATTCTGCTATAAATTGAGGTAACTTTAAAGATTTCTCTATTAAGCTCATAATTTCATTAAACCTTGTAAGTGAGTCTCTTAAAGCTTCAAACTCCTCCTTATATCCACAATCATTCATTTTTGTGAATTCAGTTCTAATATGATTATTAATATTATCAACTTTGTCCTTTATTTTTTTCATTAAATGATCATCTACTTGATTTAGACTCAATTTATTTTCTCTAAATTGTAAAAGTATTGCTTTCAAGTCATTAAGAATGTTATTATATAGGTGTTTAGCTTCAAGCTCTTTTATATAGCGTTTATAAAAGATTTCATTAAAAGATTTTATAAGTGCTTGTATATTTTCTGTTCGTTCTTGAAATTGGCTTGATTCAACTTGATCTTGAAGTATTTCTTGTTGCAAGCTTGTTATTGCATTTTGAACTAAATTAAATGATTCTTTTATACTAATGTCTTCATTTATATAAGGGAACTTTTCATGGTTTTTTTTTGCCCAAGTATCTTTCAATTCAATTAAAGTCTTCATGTCTTCAGACATACTAATATCTTGGTAGGCAGTTTCAACGTTGATCTCATTAGGATATGAATACCCATGTGTTTTGTGATATCGTTCTGTCTCTTCTTCAACATTTGTCATTTCTACATCTTCTTGGGTGTTAGTATCTCGAGATGAAGTATGTGAATTATCTATTTGATA